GGTCTGTCCAGGGAGAGGCCAGGGTATGGCTTCCCCTGACGGCTGTGGGGGGCGCGGCAGTGTCCCCCGGCCCACGGGATGGGGAGCGGAGCACAGCCAGATCTCACTGGCCTACGAAATGGAAACTTAGCCCTTAAACTCAGCTCTGACCCCGAGGGTTTGGTGAAGCGGACACACTTGGGGCAGGTGACTGATGTCTCTGACCTTTGACATGGACTAAGTTTACTCAGGATTATAGATGCAATAGACTCTCCCAGATGGTCCACGGCTGTATTTTTTAAAAATATTTTTGTATTTATTTCAGAGAGGGAGGGAGAGGGAGAGAGAGATAGAAACGTCAATGATGAGCTCGCTTCGGCAGCACACATACTAAAATTGGAACGATACAGAGAAGATTAGCATGGCCCCTGCGCAAGGATGACACGCAAATTCGTGAAGCGTTCCATATTTTAAAAAAAGAAAAAAGAAAGAAACATCAATGATGAGAGAGATACATCTATTGGTTGCTTCCTGCATGCACCCTGACCGGGGCGGGGATCGAACCTGCAACCCAGGCGTTCTGCGTTGGCCAGGAACTTTTTAATGCCTGCTCAGTTGAGCACCAGCTCTGTTAGGGACGGGGCTCTCCGTGGAGCTGAGGGTCAGACCCATCTCTTCCCAGCTTAGAGCGGTGGGACGCCCCGTGGCGCGGCCTCAGTCCAGGGGTCCTGCCTGGTCCTGGGTCCACTCCAGGCTTCTGAACCTTCTCTGCACCGGGACCCCTTGGGCAGTTTGGCAACGCCATGAATAATGGCAACGCCCAGAATAATGCTTGTAAAGCATAACGGGAAATACCCGGGTCACAAAGGTGAACCAGGCAATTACAATGCAGGTGTCAGGATACGCAACATGAATTTGTGGTGCGGGAAATCTCATTCTTTGTGCACTAACGTTCGAGCAGCAGGTCTAAGCACGGCTGTAACTTTGAGGCAGTGATAAGCGTGGGTGATATTTTGGAATATGTGCAACAAACGTACCTTGATGTGAAAATAGCTACGATTTTCTATTTAGAGTCACAGGCACTGCTCGTCATTACTGTGGTTTATTGTCTGTGCTTCTAAAGCTGATGGTCCAGCTTGAGGTTAGTGGAGATTAAAATATTTGTATTTTCCCTTCCAAGTTCACACAGCCCCAAGGGTAGTAACCAGTGATCTGGTCCCTGGCTACCCTCCCAGCCTTCTCTAATACCTCTTTGAGCCTCATTCACTGTGTTTGTCACACTGCCCTTCTTGCTGCTCTTGAGTATGTGAAGCTCATTCCTACCACAGGGCCTTTGCACCTGCTCTCTGCCGGCAGGTGCTCTCTCCCAGGGTGAGGCGTGGTTGCTTAGGTCTCTCTCACGGTGCCCCCACCTCCTGTTGGAAATAGCCGCCACCCCATCGCTCTCCACTATCCCAGCAGCGTCATTTCTGCTCAGTGCACCTGTCACTCACCATGTGACCACATCCTCTCTCCTGCCAGACTGTTTGCTCCCCGAGGGCAAGCGCGTGGTCAGTCTTGTCTGCCCCCGTATCCGCAGAGCCGGGAACGTGCCGGGAACGGTGGAGACGTCAGCAAATACCTATGGAATGACTGGCCGGCGCGACCCTGGACAGTGGCCATCACTTTCGCCTGTAGTCATTTGCCTCCTGCTTGTAGGCATTTTTATTTTTCACTGGGGAACCGGGCTGAACAGGCCCCCCGCTGCACGGTTGGGCGCCGGGCAGCAGTCGTGGTGTCACTGGTCTGTCTGTTCTCACGCCACGCGTGTTACTGTCTTTGTAGACGTTGCCTCTCCATCCTGCGCGCTAGACACCGGAGGCGCTTTGGCGGCGGCGAGCGGCCGCTCCCGGTTGGCTCTGTGAGGGCTGAGCGCTCTATAGCCTGCGTTTGCCAGGAGGTGTCTGAGGGTCCTTTTTGCAGGGGTGGCTCTTGTGCATGGCGGTGCTACACGTTCCAGTTTGACGTGGGGAAAAGCTGACTTCTTCATAATCGTTGCATCCTGTGTCCCCCGTTAACCTCTGTTCGTGACTAAAATGCCTCACTGATACTTTCTCCTGCCCCCCCTTCATAATGAGCCCCTCGAGAACACTGTGATATGGGGGCCTGTGGGGCGCTCCGAAGGGCTGTGTGATAAACGACCCAGAGTCCCTGCTCCCCGAGGACGGGTGAGGACGAGAGCCTCTCAGACCCTGTCCGAGGGAAGCTGGTGACGGTGCCTTGGTGCCCAGTGCGGTGAGTCGGCGGTCTTTGTTGGGGGCACCATGGAAGCCTTCACTGTGGACCCCAGCAGGCTGGGCACAGTCACCATGGTAAGGGGAGTTCACCGCAGGGCTCCTGCCCTCGCCCAGGCCTGCCGGCTTCGCGTGCAGGAGTTCAGGACCGGAGGGAAGGGGGAGTGTCCCAGGAGAGGGAGAGCTCCCAGGGCTGGACCGCACAGGGGAAGGGCGGCCCTGGTGTTGGCACCCCCTGTCACCCTGGGGTCCCCAGGGCCTGCGCCAGGGCACACCTGAGAGCCTGGGCGTTGTCTGGTCAGGAATCATTTGGGTCCACAAACTGCCACTACAGTGTCCGCCCCACGTGGGGACCCGCTCATCCCGGAGCTGCTGGTGGCCATGGGAAAGTGCAGATTGCGAGTCGTCCCCTCACACGGCGCACATGTTCAGGTGTCACAGCCCGGGGACCCGTCTCTATCCTCTCCCTGCGGCCTCCCTCCGAGCCCTCGCTGGGCTGTCATCACAGCACCCGGCCCTTCTGCCTGCCACCCCACCCCGTTCTAGTCCAGGACCCACCTTGCCTCCTCCTCTCCTCAGCCGTCGATTCCCGGCTTGATGCCACATCCCTGCCCTCGTCATCCGGCTCCCTGGAGCCGGCGTGGCCAGAGGAAACCCCGGTCCCCGCTCATCTCACTTGATTGACGAGCAGTGACCCTGGTGGCCGCCGGGCACCCTGCTTTCTGTGGTCCTAAAGGCCTGGTTCACCCCTCAGACGTCAGCACCTCCTCCCGTCCTTATTCTCAGCGGGTGACCTGTGTCGCTGAGGAAACGAGAGTGTTTCATAGAGACCCCGTTCACCCACACCGATAACCTAGAACAGGTGCATGCAGGCCTGCTTGTCGTGTTCATGCTGGAGGCATGTGAGCGCCCGGGGAGGTGTGTGAGCGCCCGGGGAGGCGTGTGCCTTCTAGGTTAAAGCCGCCCAGGAGAGAGCCCTCGCGGCCACCGGAAACAGCATCTCCCTTCCTCGTATGAATGAAAAAATTAATACAGGCTCGTTGGTTACAAATACTAAGTAAGAACAACAAGGTCCGCGCCCGGGGAGGCGTGTGCCGTGGCGTCAGGTGCATCAGGAACGGACTCCCAGCCTTTCTCCGTCTGTCTGCTGCATAACCCGTGTGAAAACTGACGATGGCTAAAACCTGAAGCTGACCACCACGTCCACGTTCCCTCGCGGCCCCCAACCGGCCACGGCTCAGGTGTCTGCGTCCTCCGTGTGCCTTGTATGGAAATGCCTTTCCTTTCCCAGGACATGGGCAAGTTCTGCCTCACGTACGAGG